ACTATTTTTTTATTCTGATAGCTTTTGATAAATGGAAAATTATGGTGATAGTCAATATCTCAAAAACATTTTCATAATACTATTTTTTAAATTTTATGTATATTTTTATTGATTCCAGAGAGAGACAGAGAGGGAGGAAGAGAAGAAGAGAGGAAGGGAGGGAGGGAAAGAAAGACAGACATTGATGTGAGAGAAATATTGATTGGTTGCCTCCCCTACGTGCCCCAACTAGAGACCAAACTGGCTACCTAAGTGTATGCCCTGACCAGGAACTGAACCCACAACCTTTTGGTGCACAGGATGACACTCCAACCAACTGAGCTACATCAGCTAGGCTCATAATGCTACTTTTAAAGTGTGTTCTCAATAAATATTTTGACAAAATAGCAAAAAAAGAAATATTAACACTGCTAAGACAACATAGTGATTAAGAACACAAGCTTTGGAAACAGGAAAAACAGGGTCTGAATTCTTTCTTCTTACTTATTTTTTCTGTGTTCCTGGGTATACCACTAAACTTCTCTGTGTTTTACTTCACTTACTGTAAAATGGGTATAATAATATTTGCTTCATAGGGCCAGTGTTAGAAATATGCCAAAGTAAATACTTAATAAATAGGAGCTATCATGTCATAATTATTGCATTACCATCAGAAAAGTTCACCCTTTACAACACTAGCTGTACATTGAAGTCACATGGGAATCTTTAAAAATTATTATGCTTGTACTTGAACTATAATAAAATAATTTTTTAAAAAAGTTCAGAGAAGTTACCTTTCAGTCAAACATTTACTGAGCACCTATCATATGCTAGGAAATATGTAAGCACTAGGAATATAAAGAAAAAAAGGATAGTTAAGAGGACCCAAAATATTTATGTTGAATTCACACTTAAAAGTTAATTTCAGATACAAACTTCATATTCTACTTCTTAATTTCTAAGTAGGGCAATTATTTTAAGTTCCTCTTATAAAAATTAAAGAATGATTTTTTTCCCCTTTGAAAGGAAAACATAAGTTGTCAGGTTCAACCAATTAGGACATGTATAGAAATCCTTGGAATCTGGAAAACATGGTGAAACTTAAATTTGAAAGCAACCTGCAATTAATATCACCTTTCAAAATTATTCTCAAATCAGTAGAATGAATTATATTTAGACCTAAAATATATAAAATGAATCAATCTGTTACGGTGATGATCTTTTTTAGAAGGGCTGGGCTAACAGATGTAAAGAATTAAAATCCAGTTCAAGTTTGTATTTCATTTGCTCATTCCAATTAAATGACAGATGGCTTAAATACAAATCTTATTAATAAAATGTTTGCATGTTCATTATGAAGCTGATTGCCTTATCTCATTCATTTTAGTAATTTTATTAATCTTACTACATAACTGCTCATTTCATTCTAGGGCTTCTAAACTTTTGCCTCTTAAAGTGTGGTCCCAGGACCAACAGCATCCCCTGGAAGCTTGTTAGGACTACAGAATTTTATTCCCCATATCAAACCTACTGAGTCAGAATTTGCATTTAAAACAATTTCCTAAGTGATTTGTATATACATTGAAGTCTGAGTAGCACAGTTCTAAACTGTTCATTTTTTCAGTGTTAGAAAAAGTTTATTTCCTTCCAAGTTGTGATTAATTTACCTCCAGATAGTAACTTTTAATAAGAATAATGCAATTCAGTCAAATAAATCAAGTCAATATACATATATGTTAAGATTCTACATGGAATATTTATGTCTAACACTTCACTTACCTCTCAAATTGGACTTCAAGTCTTAGAATTCTTGTTGTACTATTCATTTTTTCTCGAGTCAACATCTTTGCCTTAGCATATGACCATTATGATTAAAGTCTGTGATTAAGCAACTAAAATACTAGGAGATCAGATTGTCCACATAATTTCAGAAAAAACGAAAAAAACTCAAAATAGGTTCAACCGAAGTTGAACTTGAAAGTTCCCTAGAGGAAAAAAAGATCAGAATGACTCTATCCTTCAAAAGAATATATTTTTATGCTTCACCTAACATTTTTTACTGAGGGCAGCACATTTTTAAAAAAAATAAGAAATTCACATGGAACCTACTGCAATACTTTAGTTGGCTCATCTTTTATTATGACTATTGCACCATAGTCACAGTATACATAAAATAGAACAATTCTGATTTCCTGCTCCTCCCCCTTTTATTTTTAAATGACAGAACCTAAGCTGAAACTGATCACAGCAGTTAAAATAGTTCTGCACAGATTCAAAGGAAGGTACAAATGTTCACTTTTCAAAAGCAGTGCAAAAGCCAACCTCATCTCTTTTTGTTGTAGCCATGGCTTTTTGCCAAATATTTGAAAACTGTGGAAAAATGCTGTTCTGTATAAGCAATTATGAAGAGCTTTACATAAAGAAGGAGAAAATGTAATAACAATCAAATCCTTTGAATGGTCAAATGCCCATGGCCTCTGGGTTGCAGGACAAGAATCTAAGAGTTACTGGCTACATCTGAGCCAATGGACTCAACCCTTAGGAGAATGGGTTTAGTAGAAGGTTTTAAGAAAAGGTTATCAAAGAATCTGTTGGGCAGTCTCAAAAATTAAACATGTTCTCAAACATCCCCAGTTTTTTAAAAAATAAGATCCTATTATAGCCCTGGTTTGTGTGGCTAAGTGGACTGAGTGCCAGCCTGTGAAGCAAAGGATCACCAGTTCGATTCCCAGTCAGGGTATGTGCCTGGGTTGTGAGCCAGGTCCCCATTAGGGGGCGCACAAGAGGCAACCACACATTGATGTTTCTTTTCCTCTCTCCCTTCCTTCCTTTTTCCCTCCCTCCCTCCTGTCTAAAAATAAATAAATAAAATCTTTTTAAGAAGATCCTATTATAGATCAGTTATCCTTAAATTTAACTCTTTATTCACTTCATTTTGCCTTTACAGCTTATATAATTTCTCAGGATACAGCATCCCACAAGAGTAACAACTAGGTATTTAATGCCCTTTTTATGGTCCTAGCCATATTGATTTTCAAGCTTTAAGTAGTGCCCCTAGCTCTAATATTCTAGAATTTGGTGAACAATTCATTAAGCCATCTCTCTACTCACATTCACAGCAAGGTCTCTCAGAACTATGCACATTGGCTCCACTGCCTCACCTACCAGTCACTTTTCAGCCCACCCTTATCTGGCTTCCACTCTGTTCACTCTATTAAATCTCTCTTGGTAAAGACCATAAGGACCTTTATGTTGCGAAATCCAATAAACAAGCCATAGCCATCATTTTCCCTTACATTGCAGCATCACTCAACAATGTTAATTGTTCTCTCCCTGTTGAAATAACTTTCTGTAGCTTTGATGGAGCTGCACTCTCCTAGGTGCCTCCCAATTCTATCCCTTGTCAATCTTTAGGGACTGTTTCCTTCTACCTAACCTACAAATCCTTCCTTGGGGCTTGATCTTGGAATCTTAGACAATCTCATGACTATAACCATCCCTTTCATGCTGATGACACACTTTCATGCTGACAATACATTTACTGGTCTGGTTTCCAGACCAGATCTTCCCGCTGAGTCTAGACCAGTACACCCAACTACCTATTCAATTTCTCCACCTGGATGCTTCATAAACATATTTAAAGTCAATACATCCAAAACTGAAATCTTCGGTTATTCCCTCATTGTTCACCCTCCAATGTTTCTCATCCTGAAACATCTACGTAGTTGTTCCTGCTAAAAATTCAGAAATTCTTTACTCTCATCACTAGAAACCAATCAATCTCCAAGTTCCATCCTTTGGACCTCCAAAAGACAGCTTCAATATGCTCAGTTTCCCACCTCTACTGCCATCCTCCCCTCTCACCTCCACCTTCCAGCCTATCATTATTGCCTCTTATGTACCACACTGCAATAGCATTCTAAGTGATCTTCCTGAATTTACTCATATTCCCATCCAATTTAGTCTCCATACTGCAGCCAGAACGATCTTCCAAAGATGAAAAATGTTCCTACTTAAAACCTTCAGTGGCTTCCTATTGGTTTTAGGATAATGTTCATAAGCCACCTGCCTACCTCTCCAGACAACCTCATCTCATGCTCTCATTTCCCAACTTCTCCATTAGCACCAGCTCTACTCTTTTTCTCTGCACATTCACTACATGTGCTGAGGTTTCTCCAGGTTCAGGGTCTTGCACATGTTGTGTCCTCTTCCTGGAATAATTGTTTTACTTTTCTACCCACTGCTGCCCAAATCATACCACTGTAGACACACACATGCATAATCCAAAGCCTCCGGGTCCACAAGCAATAGTCAATCTAGACCAAAAGAAACTGACTGCCTAGCAATACAAATGCTGAAAGATAACACTGGGACAAAAAATAACAACAGCAAACCCTTATATAGCTCTATATGAGGCACTGTTTTAGGTGATTCATATATTAACATACTCAATACTCACAACAATCTGATGAAGTAGGTACTATTATAATCTCTAAGATAAAGTATTTAAGGTACAGAGATGATAAATAACTTCAACAAGGTCACAGATATTCAGTGGCAAAGCTAGGATTCAAACTGAGTCCTGTGTGAATGCTTGGCTGCCGGTAAGTTGATTATAAACTATTCAACCCTCCCTTCCACATATGGGATGTGGAACTGGTTTACATAACCATACAGTTAATGGACAAACACATACATGAGGGTAGAGATCATTTCTATCTTGTCCACTGATGAATCCCCAACCTCTTGAATAATATCTAACGTATAACTGATGCTCAAAAACATCTATTGAATATATGAATGTTATTTGAGAACCTACTGGGTTCCAATCATGTCTCACAATATATCTGACCATTCTGTTGGTCAGCTGTCTGCTAACCACTCCTGCAGTCCCTAGGCGTCCCCTCCTCCTGTCCGCGTGCCGTTCAGGGAGCGGCCGCCTGTAGGGCAGCAGGCCGCAGTCTTCTCACCCTCCTTGCTGAGGTGAGGGCCTCGCGGCCTCTCCTGCCCTCAGGCCTCACCTTCCATGTAGGGGAAGAGGCCATCCCAGCGTCCAGCCCAGGCGCAGGCGGCTCTCCCGCGCCCAAGAGTACGAAACGGCCGTACCGCTGCAGTGGCCACTGTGCTGCATCTCCACTGGGAAGCCCGAGGCCTGCCCCCTTTTTTCCCGCCTCCGCCATGTCTGGCTTCCAGGAGCAAGCAGCCGGCGGGGCCTGCCAATCCCGCAGCTGATCAATCAGGAAGCACGGCAACCCCAGACACGCCCTTCCCTCGAGTGCAAGCCAATGGGAAGGCCCCAAAGACTCCAGCAGGGGGCTCTGTGGCTGTGGATGTCGCTCTGGCGTTTGGGCGCCTCGTCGTCTTTGCGGACGAAGTGGATGTGGTGACTTCCTGCTTGAAGTGGGGCTGTGCCGCCTGTCAGTGGTAGTTGGTCTGGCCTCTGCAGCGTTCAGGCCTCACCTTCCCTCAGCCAGTCCAAGTCGCCATCCGGCGCTCTGAGGGAGACATTTCCGAAAACTGGCCATTTTCCTGTAACTTGCACGTGAGGTGGCGTTCCCAGGCTGCCAGGGCAAGGGTGTTCTCCTTCCGCAAGGCAGCCTGTCAGACAACAACGTGCCTGCCCACCTCTAACCCACCACAACACAGCCCAGTTAGGATCATTTCCTCATCACCCTGCAGCCCCCAACATATACTGCCTTCAGACCAACCAGTTCTCTCCTAAAGAACTTGGGATGGGATGCTGCCGTCAATAAAACGTGTGCCTCAAACAGCAGGTAACACTAAAGGACAGGTCTGGGAGATCTGTAGTCGACAAAGCACTTCTACATTTGTTATTTCATTTGTCCTCCCAATAACCTGGTGATGAATTAAAGAAGCAAAACGGAAGTTGTTTCCCCCCCGTTGAATGGATGGAGGTAAAATAAGGTCCTGAGAGTAGAAGCAATTTGTCCAAGGTTGCACGGACAGAGTAGAAGTGTGGACTCCACAATCTATCTATGTGTCCAACCCACTTGCAAAAAATGTAGGTATTCGTCCAGTCAAATTGGAAGCAATGCATACAGAAAGTGGGGCTATTATTAACCATACTCATAAACTTACAATGCAAACATTTTTTAAAACTATGCATGGCAAAGGGTATTAAATGCATAGACAATGGTTGGAGAGGTGGTAAGTTATTCATGCTGCACTGATTAAATATCTGCAGTGTGTAGCTACTCTAGTGCTCATACTGGTTACAAAAATGGGTAAGGCATGCACCTAGCCTTCTAGGACCTCAGGATCTAATAAGGGAGACAGAGGGAGACTCATGATACCTGGCAGTGCCATGTGAAAGGTATAAACCTCGTGCTTAAAGTGTTCAAATGAAATAAACATTTCAATCCTAACTTGAAGGGTGAGAAAAAGTTTCCCAAGGGAATCTGGAAAACACTGGTATTCCATATGGAGAGCAAGAGGAAGAGCAAAAGTTGCAGAGAAGGTGAGGTTTGGGGGGAATAAGGCCACAAAGGTGAATTGGGCAGAAGAGCACTGAACAGCAGCTAAGAAGAGTGAATTTTACTTGGTAGGTGATGAGGAGCATGGAAAATTCACATGAGGCAGTGGCAATATCATAATGGTATCCATTATGGATAATCTTTCAAGGTCATTAGAAAAAAATGCAACCAAAGCAAGTGATATTTGTTGCTTTTCTTTCCATTAGTCTTGTAGAACTTGAAGGGGTCAGATTTCAGAAACTGCTTCTGAAGGTCCTTAAATGACACAGCAGTACTGCATTTAATATAGTAGTAAATGGTCAGAAACTTGGTTTCAATCCCAGTTCCACCACTTGCCAACTGTGTGACCTTGGGGAAATCACTTAACCTCTCTGTAAAATAGGGTTAGTAAACACCTACTTTACAGGGCCATAGGGAGGATAAAATAGATCATATGTAGGGAAATACTTGGCAAATTACAAAGCAGAAACACATGTTGGCACTTGCTTTTTGCAGGGATAAAATGACTTTCCACAGCTCCCTAAGGGCGGGAGAATGGGAATGGGAGTCTGACATTTGGTCTGAGAGGCACTCAGTTTCCAGGTCCAGGGCTGCGGATGCTGTCAGACACCCTTCACAGGAGCAGATGGTGCTCACAGTTGGGACCCTGTCAGTGCCCAAGGACACTCAGAGCCCTGCTGGGTTCCCACCTGCAAGCTCCCTTCTAGACAATGCACCTGTGCTCAAGCTTCTGGGGTAACTAGCGTCTGCCAAAAACAGATCCTGGCTGCAAAGGGAGATTGAAAGCTACAGTTATAACAGAGGCTCTTGTAAAAACGTATGATATTTACAAATGTGACTTGAGCATTCAAGAGGTCCCAGACACTGTACTAGGTGCTGGGGATACAGTAGAGAAAAACATATGTGGCTTCTGACTTCCTGAAGCTTACAAGCTAGTGGGAATGCAGAACATGGAGCAAATTACTCCTTATTTTTAATGGAAGTTGTGTTTTTTTTAAGACAAATCTGTGGTATTTATTAGTGTATAATTTTATATAATAAAAAGCACAGATCTTACGTGTTCAATTAGATAAGATTTGACAACTATGTATACTTACGTAACCGCCAACTAAACAAGATATAGAACATTTTCAAAAACTCCAAATTCCCTTAGGAGTTCCTTCTTCCAGTCAATCTCCAACTCCCTAGGGCAACCACTGATCTGATTTTTATCACTATAGCATGGCTTTTCTGTTCCTGTACTTAATATGTACAAAACAAGACAAAATGTACTTTTTGTACCTGTTTCCTTTGCTTAGTGTAATTGTCTTTCAGCTTCATCCATGTTTTTGTGCTCATCAATAGTTCATTCCTTTTTACTCTAAATAACATTCTATTGTAAGATATCACAAGTTGTTCATTCTTCACCTGTTGATGGACATTTGGGTTGTTTGTTTGTTTGTTTTTAAGCTGTTATGAACATTTTTGTACCAGTCTTTTTTGTAGATATGTGCTGGGTTCTAAAGAGATATATATATATATGTATAAATATATATATATACATATATATATATGGCCCTATAAAAAAACTGCCAAAGAGTTTTCATAGTGGTTGTACCATTTTGTACTCCTACCAGAAAAACATGAGAATTCCAGTTGTTCCCACTGACATTTGCATTATGAAGTCCTTTTAGTTTTAGCAACTCTAGTGAATATATAGTAGTATCTCATTAATTTTCATTTCCCTGATGATGAATAATGCTGAGCCCCATTTCAAATGACTTACTGCCCATTTGTATATCTTATTCTTTGAAGTGTCTGTTCAAATCTTTTGTCAATTATTGATTTGTAGGAGTTCTTTACATATTCTGGATACAAGTCTTTGGTGAGATTTTTGTATTGAAAGTATTGTTTCCTATTCTATAACATACCTTTTCATTTTCTTATTACTGTTGTTCAAAAATAAGTATTTCATTCTCAGTGAAGTCTGATTTATTAATTTTTCAGGTGCTTTTTATTAGTGCTTTCTGTGTCCTGCCTAAGAAATTTTTGCCTACCCTACGGTCATATACATAATTCCCCTATATTTTCTTCTAGATACTTTATAGTTCTAACTTTTACATCTAGGCATATGCTCTTTCTTGCATTAAATTATTTGTGTAAAATGAAGTAGGAATTAAGGTCCATTTCCCCCATATGGTTATAGAATTAACATTACACAGGAACAACTCTCAAACAATGACTGATGGAAATTGGCATATAAATACCTCAATTTCCTCACTCCTCAGGTGCGATAACTCCAAGATTTGTATAATACCCTATTTCCCAGAGTTCACGCATGGGTTCAAGCTCCAGTAACTTGCTTGGTAAGAATTATTTTTATGGATAACTTTCCTTCCCTCTCTCCCTCCCCTATCAGTGTCTCTTGGGATCACCTTTCAAATAAATTCTTTGCGCTTGAAACTTTTTGTCCTAGGGTTAGGTTCTGAGTAACCCAAACCAAGACAGTGACAAACAGGCAGGTAATTAGCTATAATATAGCTACATGCAAGAAGATGGTACAAAAGGCATTAAGAGGTAGAGAAGTCTCTCTCACATCCAAAGCAGGCCCTCAAATGCCTTGCTCACAAGCCGCACTAGGATAATAGAATTTGTGATCAGGACTAATGAATGACGGTGACTGAGTTAACACATCTCCCTCTGAAGCACAGGTGGCAAACACAAGGCCCATGGGCCAAATCCAGCCCTCCACCTTGTTTTATCTGGCCCAGCACCTAATTTCTACCTGGTGGTAGCACTGAGCTCCTTGCTTCTAGTTAAGGGTAGTTACCTTTATACAGTCCTAAAATTACATTTGGCCCTTTGAAGGCAACTGCGAGGCTGATGTGGCCCCCAGTGAAAATGAGTTTGACACCCCTGCTCTAAGGAGACTGTTACCAGTTTGAAAAAAAAAAAACAGTCCCTGGAGTTAAAAAAAATGATCATTTACTTTACAGAACATCTTTTATTCCCAAATCCTCTTACTGTGTAACTCCATTTTTCAGGAAGCTTAAATGACAGAGAGATGCTGGCTGCTTGAGTAGTCAGCATCACTGTTGGAGGCAGGCTGCAGGACTGGTTTTGGAATCCTAGCACATCCCTTTCAAAGCCGACCAGGGATCCCATACATCCCCCTCTCCCTAGGATATTGAGTAAGCAAAGAAAGTGATGGTTTCAGTTTCCGTGGGTCTCCTAGATGACAGAGAAATATGCACCCTTACCCTGCTTTTCATATTCCTTAGCTGCAGTTCTAGGGACCACACAGAGTGACTGACAACTTCAGGGCACTGTTTATGGCTGTGGGGTTTCCCAGAAAATGCCCTGTTTGCAACAGTCAAATCAGATGAGGTGTCTCTGTGATGTCAGATCAGGGGATGCTGTGTCAGAACAGGATGTTTCCATGGAACTCTATGCTCACGGCTAGAAATTATTTTCCAGCTTCTACTCTGCATCTCCATTTCAGGTCATTGAAAGGCTTTCCATGTGGCTGGGCACAGACAATCTCACCTGTCCACAGGCTGCTGATTATTGACACATGAAGAAAGGTTAGCTCTGATTCTTTCCATTTATTGAAAGCATACAGGATAGCCCTGAGTGGTGTGGTTCAGTGGGTTGGGCATCATCCCAGAGACCAAAAGATCACTCACTGGTCAGGGCACATGCCTGGG